GGCAATTTTGGCCTTAATTTCGGCTATTCTCGCCGTAATCTTGGTGGCAAAAAAGTTATTAGCCAATTTTTGAGCGGAGATTTGCCATTGTTCTAAATCAACGATAATTTTTCGTAATCGGTCAAGATTTTCACTATCTTGTTCTAATAAATTATCTAACTCGTTATGAAGGGCAAGAAAAGCATTAAGAAATTCCAAATTAGAGTTAATCTTGGACCGACTTTCCGTCCAGACCGCTTTTTCCTCCTCATTGGCAAACTCTTGCTTACTCAATTCGGCAATTAGTTTTTTAATTCCATCTGTGCTCTGACTGGCTTCATCAATATTTCCTTTTTCCAACAATTTTTTTAGATTAAATTGAGCCCAGATTTTCCTAATTCGCTGGGGGTTTTGTCCGCTCTCACAAGCATTAATTAAATAAGGGTTGCTGCTTTCTTGCCAAACAGTTAAATTATCTAGACATTTTTCCGCGTCACCAACCGAATTTTCAAGTTGGACGGCCGCACTGGCTTCTTGGAACAAATTTTCTAAATCAAGAAAAGCCACTAAATATTGGTTCGTCTCTCGATTAGCCTCTTGTCAGTCTTGTTGATATTTCTTATCGGCTCACTCATGAGAAGAATAAGAGCTTAATTTTTCCGCCCATTCGGCACAAGATGGGAAATTACGACGAGCCTCGGGCAGTTGAGATTTTAAACGGGTGATAAAATCTCGTTCTTTTTCTTGGTAAGATTGAATCCTCTTTTCTAATTTTCTGTGACGGCGTTCGGTAGAAGAAAAGTTTTCCAGGCTAACTAACAAGCGAGAACTAAAATTATCTCTGAGGTCGTTTTCTTCTCCGTGTGAATAACTAGTGATTTGCTTTTTAAGATGTTGTAATTGGCTTCACGGCGTAGTGCTATTAATCGCTCATATTTCGTCGAGTAATTGACTTATTCGTCCCAAAGTTGCGGTTCGTTCGGCCAAAAATTCGTCAATAATTTGGTGGGAAATTCCGGCTGACTCCGGAATATTTCAGTATTCTAAATACTGGATTTCTTGGCCCGGGTCATAACCGAGAACTGAACCGCTTACTCAACTCGAACTCTCTCCCCATTTCTGCTGAATATAGGCATTAATGAGGTTTTTTTTGTAGACTAATAAATTGTCTAGATTAGTGATAATTCTTTTTTCTTCGGCTTGGTTAAGTAGATTTTTCCAATTGGCTTCCGTAATAAGTTTTTTTCAATCATCAACTTTCAACCAACGATTAATTTCGATTTCTTTAATTTTTACTCCTGAGTTAGTGATTTTGTTTTTAATTTGTTGGTCGATTTCCGCTTGTAATTGGGCGGCTCAGAAATTTTTGAGGGTAGCCAAATTTGGTTCCAAGTTTAGTTCTTGGACAAGCAATTTTAAGTCGTTATCTTCTTGGCATTTTTGATACTGACGGTCTAATTCGCTAATTATATCTCCCAACTCGGCTCGGGTGCTTTGGGAAGTAATTTCTTTCACTCGGTTTAAAATATCCAGTAAAACTTTTTTGGCGGCGAGGTAATTTTCTTGACCGCGGGTAAAATCCTTATGACATTGAATTAATTCGGATAAGTGTAGGGATTGTTCTACTTTTTCAGTTCAATAGGTAAATTGGCCCTCGCCCAATAATCATCTTAGCAAAGATAAGTCATGTCTTATTTCACTCAAAGAGTGGTAAAAAATTTCGTTCTGAATTTGGCCGGCTTGTTCGTCAATTTTAGTTAGTTCTCGTTCTTGGTCCAAGATTTTCGGGTTTCAGGATACTTCCAACTCAAATCCGGCTTTCTGAATCTGGGTTAAATCTTGGTTGATTTGGAACCAAGCATTTTGCCGGGCTGTGTCTAGTTCTCGGTTTTGGTTATTAATTAATTGTCGTTGTTGACTTTCTAAAAGGTCTTTGGTGTTGCGAAAAACTCGAACGGTTTCGGGTAAAATATTCGTAGCCGCAATCTTAGCACGGAATTGGTCTTTGGTCGTAATTAATTCGGGTCAAATTTTGGGGAAAAGTTTATCCCATTCCCATAAGGCTTCTTGACGCAGAAAAAGACCTATGGCGTCGGCCTGATTAAGGTTAGTTCAGCCGGTAAAATGTTCCCCGTCAGCAGTCTGCCCGCGTATTTTACTGATTACTAATTGCACATAATCTTCTAATTTTCGCTCGCTCAAATAACTAATATGTTGCGAGTAACTGCTGCCATTTTTGGGAACAATCTTTCCTTCAATTATTTTCCTCGTGGCCGAGTCTAATTTATTAATCTTTTCGGCAAACTCGAAGCGGGTAAAAATAATTTTCCGAGCGGTTTCTCGGCTTAATGCTAAGGCTATTTTTTGTTGAAAAAACTGGCTAATGGTTATTCTCTCTCTCTCTCTCTCTCTCTCTTCATTCCCATTTGTGAGCATTATAATTTGGTGTCAATTACTTCTTATCTCGTTCTGAAAATATTCGCGGGCTCAGGCGTGTTTTTCGTGGTGGATTTGGCTCTCTTGTAAGTAAGATACTAATTGGATTATCTCCTCGCTCTGGTCATTATACCTTTTTCAATGCTCTTGGTCGGCTACGACCGGGGAAAAATTGCCTTGGCAATATTTTTTCCCTAATTCTTGGAATTTTTTCCCTAATTCTTGGAATTTTTTCCCTAATTCTTCATGCTGATATTGTTGATAAGAAAATAGTTCTTCAGTCAATTCTTGGTAGTCGTCAAAAAATTTTTGTCCGAAGTTCGTGCGTAGCGAAGAAAAAATAAAAACAGAAAGTTTACCTTTCTTTTTATTTGCTTTCATTATATTATAGATTATAGCATATTAATTATTTTCAAAATAATTAGTTAAAAAAGTATTAATGTTGGAGGAAGATAATGCTCAAAAGCGGTTAGAAACTTATTGGAGAAAACTTTGAGATATTGAATTAACTGAAAAAGAACTTATCAAAAAGGCAGAAATCATACTCCCTAATGAGATTGATGAATTAGATTTGAGTAAATTAGATGATTTAACTGAACTAAGTTTAGAGAATTATTCTTCTAACTCGTTTAAGTTGTATTTAGAGGGCGGTTATGGTTCGCTTGCCTTAAATCTCGATAGTTTTTCCGGTGCGATTGTCCTCGACTTAATAAACTGTTCTAAGAGAATCAATTTGAGTTTAAGTGTTTATTCCCCATTAACTAACTTGACTTTAAATAATTGTGATAATTTAGCGGTATTGGATATTGAAGGTTGCCCCAATTTAAAAAAATTAAATCTAAGCCATTGTTACTTGGATGTATTAAATCTAAGCCATTGTTACTTGGATGTATTAAATATAAATGATTGTGAGATAACTGAACTGTTGTTAAAGAATTGTTCTAATTGTTGATTCGTCAATAATTCCCTCGAATTCTTAGAAGAATGTAAAAAATTAAAAACTTTGGATATCAGCGGCAGCAAAACCATTACTGCCGGTTTAGAATGGGTGTCAACCGAAGAATTGCAACTTTTTTCTTGCTGAGGCACGGTTTTCCGCCAACAATTAGAACTTTACTGTGAGGAGGCCGAAGGGGAGAAAGAACAAATAAAAAAATGACAAGCCGAGTCAAAACTATCCAAAAGAAAGTTAGAAGATGTTAATATAAGAATCGGTTTTCTTGTCGAACTGATTTGAGAACTTGAAGCAAGTCCCTCCGGTGATGAATTGGTAGTCAACGAGAAAAAATTCGAGCAAATTGAGGAATTAAAAAGGCAAAAAAAAGCACTGGAAAAAGAATTCGAGCAAATTACAGAAGAACTTCCCAAGCAGGGCGTTACTTTCCAATTCCGTGATTATTTGGAGGTCTATGTCCTTCCCCATTCAGTGTTTTTTTTGGCAACAGCATCGCTTCTATTAATCCTAGTCTGATTTAAAAAATTTAGAAAAGTAAAAAAATTACAATTACGAGGAACTAAATAGTCTTTTCGTGTCTGTCGTTCTTACAATCAATAGCATAATCGTCAAAATATTATTTACTAGAAATGGTTCCCAAAATAAACTTTAAATCTTTGGCCAGGAAATTCAAGTTTCTGATTGGCAAACACTTTTTCCTCTCTCTAATTCGGATAATTATTTTTGCTTGGTTGTCAAAAATCATTACTAACATTTTCCAAGGAAAATTCGCTGGCCGCTGAGAACATTTATTACCGCAATGATTGTCAAATCTTAGCAAGCCAGTTAGTTTGGAGCAATTTGTCGCCGGGGGATTGATATTAGTAATATTCTATTCTTTCCTTTATTATTTTGACGACTTAACCGAGAGAGAATTAAGAGTGCGGGGCGGACATTACAGCAAAAATGTTTTGCTGGAAAAATTTCGCGGCTTGCCGCTAGAAGAAAAACAACGCTACCAAAACCAAGTTATTAATTTGGTCGAAAAGGACGCGGGCACCATTGGTTATTATTGGGAGCATTTACCAAACCATTTTTTTCATAGTCTGTGGGAAGTTATTATTACTCTTTTTACTTACCAAGCCGAATTATTTTCGCTGGCGACAGGGCCAAGCGTTTTCTTCTTTTTCTGGTTAGTTTTGCTCGTCTTCGTTTTTACCTTTTTAACCAAAAAAGTTTCCCGCAATGAACGAATATATAAGAAAAAATTAACCGTTGAGTGGGCAGAGCGAAAAAAAGAAATAAGTAAAGCCGTGCTTATCGAAAGCATGGGCTCAACTTCGCAGTTCCGGGCTCAACACCAAAAAATAATTCGGAACAACGAAAAATTACTGCTAAAATTTAGTCATTTTCGGTCCCTCAATCAAACTCTTCCTAACCAATTACTATTCGAAATGTTTCCCTTCTTACTTTTATTTTTAACACAAAATAAACTTGACGGAACTGTTTTAATAGTGTTTTGACGGATTTTAGGCAATCTGACGGATATTCTTCATTGTTTTTGGGATTATGCTGACTACCAGACTTCCCGGGAGCGAATTAACAAATTTTTGACTTTGCCCCAAAAAAACGATAATTTATCGGGTTATCGGTTGGCTCCCGACCAAATTATAAAATCGATCGAATTTCGGCAAGTCTGTTTTCGTTATCAGGGCCAAGAAAAGTGAATTTTAGAAAATTATAGTCGTTCTTTTTCAGGCGGAGCAATAAATCATTTATCGGGCAAAAATGGCACGGGCAAAACCACTCTTTTATATCTCTTGCTAGGAATGTTAACTCCTGAGAAGGGAGAAATAGTAATCGTGACCGAGAAAAGAGACGGAGGGGAAGAAAATTACGTTCTTCATTGCGATTTAAACTTGCAGCGATGACGAAAAAACAATGTTAATTACCTTTCCCATGACAATTTAATCACTAATAGTTTGTCCACCGGACAAAAACAACTTGCCAATATTAACCAGACTTTTGAGAAAAAAAAAGCCGCCTGAATTTGACTTTTTGACGAAGCCGATAATGCTTTGGACCCAGTCAATCAACAAAAATTGGCCGTTCGTATCCAAGAACTAATTGCCCAAAAAAAAATAGTCATCTATGTCAAGCATTAAAATTCTGTGCCACTAAACTCTTTCGCGACTTGCTTTACCGACTATTTATTTTTTTTTGTTTTTAGAATTAACTTTTTTCTTAGTCTCAGGCTCAACCGATTTTTCTGATTCATCTTTAAAGATTAGCAACCCGATTATTACCAGAAACAATGTTCCAGCAAGCATGCTTAAACCAATTTTTCATTTTCAGTCTTGGGCAATTTGGGCTTCTAATTCCCTAACTGTGTTGTCTCTCTCTGACTTTTCTGACCTTAAATTTTTGTTCTCTTTTTCTGCGGATTTAATCTGGCCGCGGAAAGAATTAACTTCCTTCGCTAGTGAATTTTTTTCTTTAACGGCATCGTCTAAATCTTTTTGTTTCTTATCGTAAGAGCAAGTCCAGGAAGAAACGCTTTCCTCTAATTCTTTAATTCTCGCCTCTTTGGCCTTAATTTCTCGCTCGTTTTTTTTGATATCTTCACGAAGAGTGTCATTTTGGTCGTATTGATTTACCACAAGTGATTGTATGCGATTATTTTCGGCTTCTAAAAGAGTTATTTTTTCTTTTAGACCTTCAATTTCTTTTAACAATGTTGCTATGCTTCTCGCTTCCTCATTTTTTATTCTTTCTCTTTCTTCCGCTTCCTTTTGCTCGCGTTCATTCGGGGAAAAATCAAAATCGTTTTCTTCCTCGTCATCAACTATAATCAAATCTTGGTCGGAATTCAAACCTTCTCCACTTTCTAACGCTTTTCCTTTCTCAGCATTGCTAAACATATGTTATTTTTTACAAAAAATAAAAAAGTTTTTGTTTCCCGCATCATTTATCGCCATCTCATTTTCATTTTTTCCCCTGCTTTTACTAGCCAAAAACACTCCTTTTTTCCTTCCCCTGCCCCTTATTTTTTGGCAAATTTCTGATTTACCCCCCCCCCCTTTCCTTATAAAATAAAAGTCATATGCCAGAAAAATTTCCCCAATTAAATTGACGAAAGTTAACTAAAAAATACCAGAAAGAGCAAGTAATACTTTATCTTTTGACTATTGCTAGTGCTCTTTTAGCATCCATTATCGACCAAAATTCGGCTACTAATCTGACTGACAAAATTCGGGGTAACGAAGGCAATCTGGAATTTAAAATTTTTAACCAAGCGATTATCGGAAAAAAAGGCTGACTGGGAAATTGGTTTCAAGGAGGGACAGGAATGGTAATTTTTCAATTTTTTACGCTTACTCTTATTATCCTTTACTGTCTGACGGTAATAGCCCATGTTTTTTACGCTTATTATTTTGGCAACAAAGTTAGACGTTTTTTAAGAAAGCGACTAATGAAGAAATTTTTCCGTTTGCGAGACACTTACGATAAAAAAACTATTCTTAATATTTTCAATAATGATGTTCGCCGCTTAACTGGACTAAATGAAGGCATAATATTTTTCCCTAACCAGCTGTTTTATCTTGTTATTAGCACAATTTTTAATCTTCTAAGTATATGAATAACCACGAAAAACGATGAAAATCCTAATTATAATCCATTCTGAGTCGGTTTAGTTTATTCCCTGGTTACCTTGGGAGTTGTTTCCTTACTACAATACGTTCTTTACTGAGCTGATTTGAAATTTCAAAAAAAGTTAGCCAAGCAGATGCGAAAAGAAGATGTTATTATTAACAACCGGGAATTGATAATTAAAAAAGGTTTAACTGATGATACTTATAATTCTTACCAAAAAATAGTAAATTGGACCCAAGACGAGGCTGACCATCGCGATTGAATTTATACTCTGTCCTGAGTGATACCGGCTTTTTCTTTAACTCCTTACTATGATTTTTTTCTGCTGATTTTTCTCCGTGGAACTGGGTCAAGCACCTTGCTAACTACCAAATTATTTGGGAAGATATTTGGGGGAATAAAAAAGATGGTAGAGAGATTGCGGGACTATCCCTACTACTTTTCCGCCGTCCAAAGAATAAATCAGTTCCTAGCCCAACCCGAACGGGATGATATCCAAAAAAATCTTCTTATCCCCGAGCGTATTACTAGCATCACTTTTCAGCAAGTAAGTTTTGCTTACCAAACGGGACAGCCAGTATTGCACCAGTCAGATTTAACTTGAAAGCAAGGTAAAGTTAACCGTCTCGCGGGAGAAAATGGTTCCGGAAAGAGCACACGGATACTTCTGGCTCTGGGTTTGGTGCAACCCGAAAGCGGAGAAATATTAATTAACCATAAGTATAAACTAAGCGAAATAAACTTAATCGCCTGACGAAAAAAAATCGCTTACGCCGAACACCAGAATTTAATCACTAATGGTTTATCCACCGGACAAAAACAATTAGCCGACTTAAATAATCTCTTTACTGCTAGTGTCGACAAAGAAGTTTTTATTTTCGACGAAGCTGATAATGCTCTCGATACCAACCATCGCCAAGAATTCCGCAAAAAAATCACCACCCTTAGTAAAAAGAAATTGGTTATTTTGGTAAGTCATTAAATCTTTTCTCTAACTTTAATAAACCGAGTGTAATCCTATTCCTTTTATTATCTTTTTATTCCTCCCGTCTTTCATAAGAAATTTCAACCTAATAATATAGAATCAAGGAACATAAAAGAAACCAGATGAAATCAACTAAATCGAGTTTGTGACGGGATTTTCTTCAACTTCAACCATTAGTAAATTTGCATTAATGACGAAATTGAAGTTTTTTAATTTAAAAAGTTTAAAATAAAGGAATGGGAAAAATCAAACTTGGGTTAAAATAATTTGATAAGCCCACGTAGCTCAGTGGATAAGAGTCAACGCCTTCTAAGCGTTTGGTCAGGAGTTCGATTCTCTTCGTGGGCGCCAAAAAGTTAAAATTGATAATTATGATATCGCAAAAACTTCCGGTCTTATTAACTAATAATTCTTTTTTATTTCCGAAACAGGAGTGTTCGCTAATAATTGAAAATAATTCCGAGCAAAAAAAAACTTTAATACATTCTTGACAAAAAAGTGAGGGGTATTTATTGATTATTCCTAATCTAACCATTGCTACTAACAAAACCAAAATAAAAACTGTGGAATATTCGGGACGCGGAGTTTTGGCCAAAATCATATTAAGTGTTCCGAACCAAGTTAGTTCTGAGACATTTATTAACTCGTGTCACGAAGTTCGAATACAGGGTTTAGAGAGAATAAAACTGGTCGATGTTAAGAAGGAACAAGGAATTTTGTGGGGGAAATATGAGATTTTGTTTGAAAAGAAATTAACCGAGGAAAAATTAAACCAGTTAGCGGAAAAATTGCTTCGTTATCTCTCTGTTATTCTAGAAAAATTCAAGATTCCGGCGGAAAAATTGCCGACGATGAGTATCAAAAAAAATGAAATTGGGGGGTTTCTTGATTTTATTACTCAGCACAGCCCGGAAATTGATAATTTAATTAAATGGGGGGTTTTGGTCTCGGGCGACGTCGAAGAAAGATTAGACTTGCTGATTGATTTACTTGATAAGAAGAAAATTGACAAAAAAGTTGAAACTGAAATCCGTAATCGTCTGAAAAATCAATACGAAAAGCATTATCTGCAAGAAAAGTTACGGACAATTAAAAGAAAACTAGCCGAGATAGAAAATTTAGAAGGGGGCAAAAAAGACGCCATTAAAAATGAACCACAAAGTTATTTGGAACAATTGGAAAGAGAACCTTATCCCGAAAGTGTAAAAAAGGTAGTGCGAGAAGAAATTAATCGTTACGAAATGATGCCGCCTTATTCTAGTGAAGCCAGTCTTACTAAGCAATATATTGATTGATTAATGGGACTGCCGTGAGGAAAAAAAAGTCCTGAAACTAATGATTTAGGTTTTGCTCGCTGCAAACTGGACGAGAACCACTACGGTTTAACCGATATTAAAGAAAGAATTATCGAATATTTGGCTGTGCGGAAAAAACTAAAAGAAAGCGATAAAAAAGAAAAAGAATCGGTGGCACAAATTATATGTTTTGTTGGCCCGCCCGGAGTAGGAAAAACGTCTTTGGCTCGGTCGATTGCCGACGCCTTAGGTTTAAAATTTGCTCATGTTTCTGTGGCTGGTATGCGGGACGTGGCTGAAATAAAAGGACACCGCCGAACTTATATCGGAGCCATGCCGGGTCGAATTATCCAATCAGTAAAAAAAGTTGGGGCGGAAAATTTTGTTTTTCTTATTGATGAAATCGATAAAGTTTCTTACGACCATCGGGCTGATCCCATAGACGCATTGCTGGAAGTCTTAGACCCGAACCAAAATTTTGAATTTACTGATGACTATCTGGGTAACGACGTTCCTTTTGATCTTTCCAAAATTATTTTTATTTGCACTGCTAATAGCACTTGAAACTTACCTCGACCCTTGCTTGACCGGTTGGAAATAATCCGGCTTCATTCTTATACTGAAATGGAAAAATTCCATATCGCCAAAGAACACTTAATACCAGAAAACTTGGAAAAATATGATTTAGTTTCTTCCGAAATAAAATTTCAAGATGAAGCGATTGAAGAGATAATAAAGAGTTATGTTCGGGAAGCGGGAGTGCGAGAATTAAACCGCAAAATCCAAACCATTATCCGTAAATTTATCTTACAGATGATAGAAAAAAAAGTGAAAAATTTGGTTGTCACTCCTGAGAAGTTGCCTAGTTATTTGAAAAAAAAGGTTTACGAACCCACGACTAAATTGAAACGGGCTAGGAAAGGTGTAGCCACTGGCTTAGCTTGAACGGAGGTAGGTGGTGATATCTTGTTGATTGAGGTTAGCCATTCCCCCGGAAAAGGTGAATTGCTTTTGACCGGTAATTTAGGTGATATCATGAAAGAATCTGCTCAGGTGGCCTTGGCTTATGTCAAAGCCAATTGTTATAAATTTCAAATCAAACCCGAATTTTTTCGCCAGAATGATATTAGCGTGCATGTCTTGGAAGGAGCTACTCCCAAAGAAGGACCGAGTGCGGGAATTGCTTTAACTTCGGCCATTATTTCGGATATCACTGGTCAAGTCATCTCCCGTGATTTAGGCATGACCGGCGAAATTACTTTACACGGTTGAATTGAGGCTATTGGTGGTTTAAAAGAAAAAGTTATTGCGGCTCACCGCAGCAAATTAAAGTCTGTTATTATTCCTAAGGCTAACCAAAAAGACATTGAAGATATACCCGTTGAGACAAGACAAAAAATTAAAATTATTCTAGTTGCCGAATACGATGAAGTATGAAAAAAAATCTCGACGCAACGGAAAAATTCACTACCATTAAAATCTACTCACCAAACTAAAAATTCGGAAAAAATTCAGCAACTAGATTTGTCAAATTAATCTCTCTCTCAGTTTCGTCTTTCTAGTTGCAATTGATTAGCAAAATTTTGACATTCTTTTCGGAATTTTAATCACTTAACTAGGTGATAAATCCAAAAACCGAGAAAAATGAGGACGATCATTATTCCTATAAGTTGAATTCAAACATAATAACATATTCCTAACATTCCTCAGTTACAAGCATGCTCTAAATCAAGTAAAGTATAAATACAAAACACAATAAAAGAAAGAACAAAACCAACTAAATCGATTACAAATCATTTGCGGTGATAGTCTCGCTGCGTTTCTTTCCCGGTTAGTTCAGTAGAAATTTGTTGATTATTAGTAATGTTCATTGTAACTTTGATAATTTTGGCTGGGGTGGCTGGGATTGAACCAACGATCAAGGATTCAAAGTCCTTTGCCTTACCACTTGGCTACACCCCAAATTTAGTCTTTAATAATATTTACAGTATGCAAATTAAATGATAGACTTTTTTAACTTATTTTTAAAATCCTTTCTATCAAAACAAGTGACACAATTTCCGAATATTTTTTAAGTTTTACTTAGAAAATAGTTAGCAAAGACCGCAACTTCGCTCGATCAGAAGAAACAGAAAGTAATAAAGGCTTTATTAAAAAGCCTCGGAGAAAATTTTAGTTTTAGTCGTAAAAATTGAAAATATGAATAATTACAAAAGAATTGAATTGCCCTATAATCTTGACCAACTAATGCCTGTTATCAGTGCCCAAACCATGTATTATCATTATGAGGTTTTGCATAAAAATTACGAGATCAAACTCCTGAAAATAATAGCGGGGGAGGGATTAGAAAGGGATTTTCCTTCTTTATCGGAATTAATGATTAACTTAAATAAGTTGCCCGCGGAATTAAAAGAGGATGTGCGTTTTTTTGGGGGAGGATTAATTAACCACAACTTTTTCTTTACTCAACTGGCTAGATTTCAGTCCGAAGCCACAAAAGAAAAAATTAATCCTATTTTATTAAACCTTATCCGGGAAAAATTTTCTAGTTGAGAAAATTTAAAGGGTGAGTTGGTAAATAGTGCTTTGAAAATTCGGGGGAGCGGGTGAACTTGGCTGGTTTTAAACAACGAGAAAGGAGGATTAGAAATTCTTAATACTGCCAATCAAGATGGTCCTTGGCCGCTTAATTTATTTCCTTTAATAGCCATTGATGTTTGAGAGCACGCCTATTTTTTGGATTACGGAACTAATCGTCAAGAGTACGTGGAGAAATTGCTTAATAATTTGTTAAATTGAGAATACATTAACCAATTTTTTATTCCTGCACCATAATTAATCGCCCCGAAATAAGACTTAGAGAATAATTAATTTTTTGGAGTAAGTAAGAACAGGTAAAGTCGCCACATTACTTTAATAACATCTCGTGGCAGAAAGATGCGTAAACTAACAGAAATATCATTTTTTTCTACTACGTTTTACTTTTACTACACACTCATAATATTATCGTCTAACAAATTACCAAAAAGCTGTGTTTAGCACCAGTGCTTGGCTCGGGAGGAGGAAAAGTGAATGGAGAATCTGTTTAGTTTTATTATAATTAGTGTGTGCCACTTGCAATAGTTTGTTTTTTTTTTCTTCTATTTAAAAAAGTAGCAAAAGCCTTATTTTCTTCACCTTTTTTGTGAATTGCTTCCTTTTTCTGAATAGCACTGCCCTTTTTGTGGTAAGCATCAAAAATAGTCCCCGCTAAGACTTGGAAGAATGGTAGAGAAGATTTTTCTTTTTCTTCCCAAGCACTTTTGACTATGAAGAGCAGACCCAAATGTTCACGTCTTTCCTCACTTACAATGTTGATTGGTATTTGTCGTTTGGTTCCTCCTATTTTTCAAGGTTTTAATTCTACATTGGGTTTAGTATTAGCCATCGCCCCCTCAAAAACAGTCAAAAAAGGCAAAGAAACCTTTGTTGCTACTAATTCGGCTGCTTGATAAACTATTTTCCTAGCCTTTCTTTTTTCTCCGTTCCACATGATCTTATTAATTAGCCGAGTAACGAGAGAGGAGGAAAATTTTCAATCCGGTTTTATAGGGTGTTTTTTGATTGGCTTTTTCTTTCTCATTAATTACTAATTATATAATCTTTTATCACTTAGTTTTCTTTTATTTCAAAGTATGATTTATTTTGTGTGTTATTCACTGCTTTTGGCAAGACAAACTTTAACATCAGTGATTTCTCTTCGTCCGTCCTTCAATAATTTTTTGCTATTGCCTTTAATAACAAAATCCTCTCATCAATCTTTTTTATTATATCAACAAACGCTTTTTTTAGTTAAAAGATAAATTTCAGACTTGCCTTGTTTATTAACCAAAGTAACATGTCGGAGAGGGTTAACGATAATTTTTTTGTGTTTTTTTCTTTTTAGTTCTTGACAGTTTTTACAATTTTTTTTCCCTTGTTCTAATTCTCGGGTCATTTGACAACTGAGGCGGCTGGCTGAAATCTCTCTTTGCAATTCCGAAATTTTCTCTTCTTTTAGCCCAATTTTTTTCTCCAATTTAGTAATTTTCTCATTGAACTCAGGTCGATTTTCCTTTTGCTGCAATAACTCATTCTCCATTTGCTTAATTTTTTCCTTGACTTGCCCTAACTCTTGGACTTTGGACTTGCAATGAGTGCAGTTCCGGTGTTCTTCCTCATATTTGTTGGTTAAGTTCTCGTGCTCTTGACAATGTTTTCGACAGTCAAGACAGTCAGTGTTTTTGTTCGCAAAACTTTGCACTCTCTCTTCTAATTTTCTCTTTTTGCCTAACAATCTTTTATAATTTTCTCCCTCGGCTTGAAAATGCTTTCACAAATTATTAATCGTTTCTTCATTAATCATTTCTTCAACCGGAGAATTAGCAATTTTTTCTCTTAATTCCTTAGTGAGATTTATCGAAGTATTTAGAATAATTTCTTTTTTGCTTTGTTCTCCTTCCCGGGGCAAGGAAGAATTACAAACTTCTTGGCAAAAATTTTCTTTAGTTTCTTTGAGTAGTGATTTAATTTCTCCTAGTTCTTCTTTATTTTGTCCTAAGTCTTTTCAGTGCTTTTTGCAATAATCAGTTTTTCTCTCTCAACTATCTCTGTCTAAATATTTAGCCAAGAAAGGTTTTTTAATACAGTTATTATCTTGTTTAATTAGCAAGAAGGTTAAGTCCTCTGGTGAGGTTGCGGCCGGAACTTTTAGTAAGTCTAAGGCTTCTTCACATCTTCTCACTTGTTGCCGAATTTTTCGGCTAAACAAGGTTGCATCGTTCCGGTTTTGGCAAGTCGCACAATTTCTAATCTTCAACATTAAAGATTGAAATTGCGGACACCGAGCATAAGCCTTTACTCCTTGGTTTTTATCACAGCAAGAAGAACGTTGGTGTTCTTCGGCTAGTGGCTGATGCAAAGAGCAATATCTAGTCAAGCTACGGCCAAATTCCTCACTATAATAACTATTTCTTTTTATTTGATAGGCTGAAGTTTGGAAATTTCTCACTTGCCCCTTTTTATCTTTCTTTTTAAAAACGATAATTAATTCTTCATCTGTGTTGGTTAAAACCGCCCGCACGATTTCGTCGTCTTTCTTCACTCATTTTTCTTGACAATTATTACATTCTCTAATGGCTTTTTGTAAGGCTCGAAATTCCGGACAATTCAAATAGGCTTCTTGAAAAGGCTTTTGAGAACAACAATTAATTCGGTGTTGCTCTCATTCCGCTTGGTGAAAAGGACACTTGATAACAGTTTTGTGGGACAACTTAACTACTCGAGCACGCCCTTTTTTTAATCTATCAATCTCTCATTCCTTAATCTGCCCCTTTTTAGTAATAATGACTAGTTTTTTTTCTTCAAATTCTTCGGGCACAGGTAGCACCTGCGTTAGATATTCTTGTTCGTGACGAAACTTAATTCACGGCTTACCCTTATTATCATATTCCTCCCAATTGATTGACTTATTAACCAGATTAAACTTGTAAAAATTAACCACGTATAAATGACCATAACTAGAAAAACATCATAAATCATCTCGTCGTTTTAACTTCATCAATGCTCAATTTTCCCCCAGAGTTTTTAACTCTTTGCCTTGGCTCGGAATATTAGTGGCTTCCAACGCATTAAGCTGATAAATAGTCACATAACTCCTTATTTTGTTTTCTTTTTTGTTGTCCTGACGGCTGAGTAAAATAATTCTTTCTTCGTGGGCGGGAATTAGCTGGCGGGGGGCAATTTTCGGTAAGTGCTGACTAAATTCGGTTAAGCGTTGGTCTCAGGAATAATCTCGTCGTAATTCTTCTAATTCTTGAATTAATCTTTCTTTGCGGACTTCCTCGTTTTCAATTAATAATTGTTGTTGTTGGTTATCAGCTTGTTTTTCCTGAATATCCCTTTCTAATTTTTCGCGTCTTTCCGGCGTGAATTGGCGAAAACTGGCTTGGGTGTCTAAAATTCGTTTCACGGTTTCGTCGGGAATTTGAAAATGAGTTTTTAGTTCTTGTTCGCAGACCTCTTCTGAATCTGCATTTCTTACTATTTCGGCAATAGCACGGTAATTATCAATAATAAATTGCCGAGTTTGTAAATTCACCAAACTTTTTTCATTTTCCCGGTAAATAAAGCGAGCTTTATCCTGAATATTTATTAATCTTTTCTCGATAAATCCTTGCAATATTTCTTTTAAGTTGAATACTCGGGGATACTCATCAATCAAGGCTCGCATTTTGACTGTGAGAGAGCTTTGTAAACGGGTTGATTGGTATAACTGATTAAGAATAACTTCTCCGTCGTAATTAGGGTCAAAACGGCAATGAATATCAACTTTATTTTCTCAGTTAGAATAATCGGCAACACTGCGTAAACCGTCAATTTTTTTGCCTTTAATTAGTTGGTTGATATGAGCAACTAATTTAGTTTTGTTAACCTTAAACGGGAGACTAACAATACGAATTAAATCTTTTCTTTCCTTATCTTTTTGGTTAGCAAGAATTTCGGCTTTGCCTCGCACATAAATAGACCCATGACCACTTTTGTAAATATTGACGAGATTTTTTTGATTGAGAATAATTCCTCCGGTAGGGAAGTCGGGTCCGGGTAAAGTTTGTAATAATTCCTCAATACTTAAATCAGGATTACGAATTAGATTAACTGTAGTATCTACTGTTTCTCCTAAATTATGGGGAGGTATTTCGGTGGTCATTCCTACGGCTATGCCTTTACCACCATTTAATAAAAAGTTTAAGTTAGCCGGCAAAATTTTGGGTTCTTTTTCGGTTTCATCATAGTTGTCAACTCATTCTACGGTTTCGAAAGCTAAATCGTTCAAAAGATAAGCCCCAAATTTACTTAAACGAGCCTCAGTGTAACGCATAGCTGCTGCCGGGTGGCCGTCAATCGAACCTCAATTACCTTGGGGGTCAACCAAAGGATAACGATAATTAAAGTCTTGAGCCATTTTCACCATGGCTTGATAAACGCTTTGGTCGCCGTGGGGGTGAAAACTACCAACCACATCACCAACTATCTTAGCGGATTTTCTAAATCCTGCTGACTTGTGAAGATAAAGAGTGTAAAGTATTTTCCTTTGCACGGGCTTTAAACCATCTTGCAACTGGGGCAAGGCCCGGTCTTCCACTACCGTATAAGCATATTCAAGAAATTTAGTTAATAAGGCTTGTCTAAAATCAATCCGGTCTACTCTTTTCGCGGCCTGAGGAAAATCTTCAGAACTTTCGATACTTTCGATAATTTTTAACTGGGCGTTTTTGTGTTCCCCGCTTTCTAAATATTTTTTTCTCTGGTCGCTTTTTTCTCCCGCTAATTCCCTAATTATTTCCCGAATAGAAGGAGGATTTAAAAAAAGTAATTCGTGCAGACAGCGTTTCCGGATTGACATCACATTTTCTCGAAACTCTAAGGCGTTCATTTCCCCCAAACCTTTAATGTGTTGCAAGCGACCTGCGGCACTTTTATGTTCTTGGCGATAACTTTCCCATTCGTAATCACTGTAAAAATATTTAGTTTCTTTTTTGCTTTGCCAGCGGTAACGAGGTGGCACGGCCAAATATAAACGGTGTTCTTCGATTAAATAACGAAAATAACGAGCAAAAAGAACTTTGAGTAAGAATTCAATATGTCGTCCGTCGGGGTCTGCATCGGCCATAATTATAATCTTGCCAAAGCGCATTTTTTTTAGTAAATCCTGCTTGGTTTTGACGACTATGGCCGTAACTTGCTCCCGTGTCAAGGGTGTATGAGCCGGAATTATTTGTTCTTCGCCCTGTTCGTTTTGGTAAATAAATTCCTCGGCAATTAGTCACTCCTCCTTGCTGTCAGCACTATCTAAACCAGAGCAAAAACGATTATAATAGTTCTGAGTGGCTTCTCCCACATTAAATCCTAGTGAGTTTATTAACCCTCGAATCTCCTTATTATTAAGAATTTTTCCTCTTTTTCCTTTCTCAACATTAAGAATTTTTCCTTGAATAGTAAAAACGGCTTGGTATTTAGGGTCACGGGCCGCAATTCCGGTGCCGGCGGCCGACTTTCCTTCTACGATGCCCAGTTCGTTGAGTTCAGTATCTTTGGAAAGGCAGGGAGACAAGCCTTCTGGAGCTTCGACCCGAGTTTGACTTATGCCCCGCAAAAGTTCTTCTTGCTCGGCCAGTTTCAAGCGTGTTTGAGCATTACTAATGACTTGACGACTAATAGTTTCAGCATCTAGCGGGTGATTTTTGAGAAAATTATTAACTAGTTCATTGGTAGCATTACGAACCAATTCTCGCACTTTTTTATTAGCCAACCTGTCCTTAGTTTGTCCGGTGAATTCCGGGTCAGACATACGAACAGCCAACAAAACTACTAATCCGGCCAAGATATCCTCTTTAAGAATGACTATTTTTAAGTGCGGAGATTTTTCCTTAATTCATTCTCGAATCGCACTAACCAAACCGGCTTCAAAACCTTCGATGTGGGTTCCGCCCCCGCCCGTGCTGATATTGTTACAAAAAGATTTAATTTGTCCCTTTTTAACATCCTGATTATATTGCCAGGCAAAATTCAAATAAAAATATTCTTCTTGATTAGGATTGGTTCACTCTTCGGCACAGATTTCGCTATTGTCTAGGGGTTGGTTCTGATTTAACTTTTCTACTCAGCCGGCCAAACCTGTTTCAAAGTGATAAACTAATGGCTCGGTTTGGGGAGAGGTGTAAAAAAATAAGGTTAGATTAGAATTAAGATAGGCTAATTCTTGGAGACGATTTTGAATTAATTCAATACGAAAATGCGTAAATTCTTTAAAAATTTTTTTATCAGGAGTGAAACTAATAGTTATTCCGTTTTTGGCTTCGGGGGTAGCCGTAATTTCAGAACTTACCAAAATGCCTTCCTGAAATTCGCAAAATTCAGTTTGCTGTTCCCTTCTGCTTCAAACTTTTAAGTTTGATGATAAAGCATTAACAGCCGTTACTCCTACTCCGTGAAGACCACCTGAAGTTTTGTAAACTTTATTATCAAATTTGCCTCCGGAGTGAAGCACAGTAAAAATAGTTTCCAGTGTGCTTTTTTTGGTTTCCGGATGGATGGCGATTGGAATGCCCCGTCCGTTATCCTCAATAGTGAGGGTTGTTTGGTCAGTCGAGAAAAGCACTTTGACTTCACTACAATAACCGGCTACGGCTTCATCAATCGAATTATCAATTACTTCTTGAAAGAGGTGGTGTCAACCCGCCTCATCGGTCGAACCAACATACATACCTGGTCGTTTGCGAACCGCTTCAATATTTTCTAAAATTTGAATGCTTTCAGCACTATACTGTTCCTTTTCTTTCTCTTTATCCTCTACGACCATTTAGATTTGTATTATAATTTAAATATTAAACGAAAATTCTCAACGTAAGTTTCAAATTTTTCTTCTTTGGTTTGTTGATACTCACCAAGATATTGAAAATAAATTTAAGGAATGACGGCTTAATATCCTTTTTTCCACAATATAATATATTATAATATATTAAATAATAGAAGGAAATAATTATGAATAAACTAATAGCCTTCCATCAAATAATCCAAATAATTTGTTCTCTCCGTTTGGTTAATCCCTCCCTAATTCGGTCCGTTAATCCCGAAACTTATACTTTTTATTGTTCGTATAGTGAAGAAGTAGTGGATTTACCGTTCTCTTTTCCTACTAGTTTAACTAATCACATAAATGTGTGTAACAATTTAGGATGTAAATATTTTCAAAGGATATCGGGAAGTGCAGCAGGAACATATGGAACGACGATGTTGATGTTAGCAGCCGCTCCGTTTACTTTCGGTTTATCATTGGTAGTTGTTCCGATATCTAACGCTGTTATATGGCATTTAAATAGTCAGGTGTTGAAAGGAATAGAAAATGAATTAAAATTGAAACACGAAATTGAGAAGTTAGAACAAGAAATTAATGATTTGAAAGAAGAGCATATGTTAGAAATGGAAATTGCCACGGACGTTGCTTTGAAAGCTTCTCGCAACTGATATCAACGTCTCCTAAGAGAGTTAGAAAGAAGACTGGGAGATTTGAAAAGGCAATTGTGTCAAACAACTGGTTGCAATCGATACCCAAATTGCCCACATGGATAGTAATAATACTGAAAGTTATGACAATGGAATTAAAATTAATAAGAAAACTTTCTATTCCTACAAGGCCAAACAGTTGGGAATATTTGATTATTAACAATTCTCATCAGGAAAAATTTATTATTAGTGAACCACCTTTTCTGCCTAAACTAGAACAAATCAAAAATGAATGACTGAGAAAATCAGGGATAATAGAAGGGCGAGAGGAGATTTATTTTGCTGAAATCGGTCACGGACTAGCATTTAAGCACACTCCGAATGAAATAGCACTAGAACGCTACAAAACTTACAAATGAAATGATTTTAGAAAAATTTGTGAAGAAATGGGTATGGATATTATGGATACTGAATATTCAGACAGCGAAGAGGAATTAGAAAGGTTAAAAAGAGAACTAGATGATAAAAGGAGAGAAATATTAGCCCTAGAAAAAGCCTTTCAAAAAAGCCCGGAAGAGAGAGAGAGAGAGAACTCCAATTATGACACCAGCAAGTCCGACAAATAGTAACAGCAATAGTGCAGTTTGCCTAGTTTTGGTTATACTTTTTGGAGTATGTTTGTTAGGCTTGCTTTTTCTGCCAAAAAAACAACGATTACAAAAAAAAAATATCCGCTCCACAACAAAATAGTTAGAAAATTTTTCATGGTTGGGGGAGGAGTTTTAGCGAGATTATGGTTTTGGGAAAAGTTTGATAAATGGAAAGTTAAATCTTTTTAAGGGCTAAATTTTGGCTTTTGACATTTAATTTTTCTTTCCTAAACCTTTTTACTAAATCATTCCGCTATTAAAGAAGTATCGATGTTTTTATTTAGTTCCTCGGGCAAGGGATAACGGAGATAAGTAATGGTTAATTTTTCTTTATCGAAATTGATAAAGGAAGGAGTAGGACTATTTTGTTCCAGACTGCTTTTAATAATTTTGTTCTCTTTCATGATTGGTTTTTTGAAACTAATAACACTTCCCGGTCTAACTTCATAACTAGGGATATTGACTTTTTTTCCATTAAGGAGAAAATGACCGTGATTAACTAATTGCCGAGCCATACGCCGAGTTGTAACTAACTGAGAGCGAAAAACCAAACTATCTAACCGCGATTCTGAAACTATTAACAAGTTATTACCAACATCGCCTCCTTTGGCTTTTAACTTGGAAAATAAATTGTATAATTGCCGGTTCCGCCAACCGTAAAGAAGTTGAAGTTTTTTTTGTTCGCGATTTTGGAAAGCATAAACCGAAAATCTTTTTCTCTTGGCTCCGTGCTGGCCTGGCGGAGTAGTTCTCTTGCGAAACTCTTTTCTATTTTCTAGTAAAGAAAAATTCAAAGCTCGTGATTTCTTTCATAAAGGACCGGTATATCTTGACATATTACTATATAAGAATTATTATTTTTTTACAAGTTATCAAATTATTAACGATTTCTGGTAAACTTTTTCAGTCTGTATCAGGGAGAATTAGGAAAAGATTTCATCTAATTATTCTTGGGTGCTTGGCATGGCGATTTACCTTATTTTTATCTATTTTTTTGCGTGCACTACTAATATAATATAATATGTCTCGGCTAGCAAAACGAGTTATTACTATACCACCGACGGTGGAAATTTCTCTTTCCTCCCAAAAAGTTCTGGTTCGGGGTCCGGCGGGGAAAAATGAACTGCTCCTTCATCCCGAGATTGAAGTCATTAGAGAAGCCGAAAAAATTTGGGTTAAATCCCCTAATCTTGCTCTAACCGGAACCTTTAATTCCTTAATTTATAATCTAATTTGGGGAGTGGATAAAGGTTATCGAATGTCCTTAGAAGTTAAAGGAGTAGGTTATAAGGTTAGTCTCCGTAATGGTGAATTAGAATTATCCGTCGGAAAGTCTCATCTTGATTATGTTTCTATCCCGTGCGAACTACAAGTTGAATTAAAAAGTAATCGAATAATTATTACTGGCTCTGACAAGCAAAGAGTTTTCGAATTCGCTAACCACATCAGAGTTCTACGACCGCCCAGTATCTACAAAAAGAACAAAGGAATTTATTTTCTTGGGGAAGAAAAAAACCTTAAATTACGCTCAGGTAAAACTCTACGAAAATAAGTTTATTTGGCTTAATAATGAAAAACTAACTCTTTTTCGTTCCGTAAAGAGAACGGCCTTGCTTACGGTTTTTTACTCCTTCGCAATCACTATGACCCCGGATAACATGATATTTTACTCCTACTAAATCTTTGGGTCCACCCCCACAAAACAAAACTCGTGAATATTCCTGTAAATTGTGACCTTCGCCGGGAATATAAACTGTAATCTCTTTCCTCTTTTTTTTTAAGTAGGTTATCACGCGGGCATAACTTCGCAATGCCGAATTCGGTTTTTTGGGCTTAATTTTCCCGACTTTCTTACAAATACCTGATTTTTGGGGAAAAGACCAGTGTGCTTTTTTATGCTTTTTGGGAATCCGCGGATTATTAATTAATTGATTAGTAGTAGGCATTATTTTATTTATTATGGTTAATTACTTCCTCATTTTTCTCTTTCCTCACCTCTCCTTCCCTTATTTTATAGCGGTCAGCCAGCGTCGAAGGATATCTAACCATTTTTCATACGTAGATTATAAGAAAAATAAAGAGCAAAACAAGCCCGAACGTGATAACAGACATTCCATAATCAAAAGAACTACTTCTTCTCTCTTCACTTTTTAAGAAAAATCCTGCAGCAACACCGGAAACTAATGATAAAAACCCGTTAATTATTACCCCTCACTTTCAAAATCCGTCTACATTTCTATTATATTCTATCAACTCGGCTTGTCATTGGTCGTAACATCAAGCACACTGAACTCAAAAGGCTAAATTCTCTCAACTTTCCTGGACACTAAAAGACATCTTTCTCCCCTTTCTTGTTTCAGTTCTATAACTAACTTCCCCTTCGTAAATTATTGTGCGACACGTGCTACATACCTCGTTTTTTTTTTTTTTTGCATTATCCACAATATTCTTTACTTTTGTAATGTGATTTTAATTGAAATGTTATGGAAATAAAAGATTTTTTTAATTTTTGGTTTTTAACATCTTTATTTTTCACAAGTATAAACCGGAGGGGGGAGCGAGATTTTTATATTTATTCCCGTTAGTTAATCTTTTTTTTAAATCAAAAATGGTTTGTTTTCCTTCGTAGCAATTAATTACCTCCCCAATTATAGCCCGAATTTGATAACGAAGAAAGCGGGGGGCAACAATACTAATTATTACCCAATTCTTTTTTCCTCAACTCCTTATTGAATCGATTTGTCGCACTGTGTTAATTTTTTCTCGGTCTTGATAACGGCAATAACAATAATTAAAAAAATCGTGCTGTCCGCGAAATAATTGAAGAATTTGGTTTAATTTGGTCGTTTCTAACGATAAATTGTATTCTCAGCAGTATTTTTTTTGTCAAATATTCGGTTTCCCCACATTAATAAAATAACGATATTCTTTACTAGCCACATTATAGAGAGGATGAAAATTAACCCCTACTTTTTCGACTTTTTTCACCAAAATATATTCTTTTAACCTCTTTTTTAAAATACCAAATAATTTTTTATTCGTCAGCAAGAAAGGCAAACGAAAAGTAAATTTTTGTTCCCGAGCATGAACTCCTTTATCGGTCCGGCTACTGGCAAAAACACTAATCGGGAACGAAAAAGTTTTTTGAAGAATACTTTCAATATAGCCTTGTCCAGTAAATTGTTCAGGCTGTTTGGCTCAACCTCAAAAATTACTGCCGTCGTAAGCCACAGTTACCAAATAAAGATAGGTATTTTTCATTATAAAAATTTGTTTTGGTTCATTCGAAGAACAACTTAAAAACAAAAATTTTTCTCACTTTACCCTCTAACTTCGCGTCTTAAAAAAAAATTTTTTAATAAACAACTAATTTTATTTTTCTCTACTCAGGAATGTTTCACTAACTTTTTTTTTTGGTTGTTGGAAAAAATTGCCTAATTTATAAACTATCATCAGGTTTGAATAAAACTTTGCTTAAAAAATACTCAATTGCCCAACATAAATGCTGAATTTTACTATTCGTCAAGAAGAAAGCGACCAAACACTTATTAGTTTTCTGAAAAGAAGATTTAAGACTACTCCGTTAAGCCTAATTTATAAACTTTTTCGCACCAAAAAAATAAAAGTTAATGGCGAAAATATTCGCTATTATCATCATCGCTTAAAAGCCGGAGAACAAATTATCATTCACGATAATTATCTAAAAACTGCGGTTGCGAAAACCACTATTTTCCCACTTTCTCAGTCCAAGGTATATTTCGAAATTACTTACGAGGACCCAAACATTCTAATTGTTGTCAAAGAGCACGGGATAACCATGCTGAATTTAGATAATGATGTCCGACATTATTTAGCCGAAAAGGACCCGACCGAGTATCGCCGGCAGATAGAAAATTTTTTTGTCTTGACGGCAGTGCACCGCCTCGATAAATTGACCCAAGGACTAGTTATTTATCCCAAAAATCCCATGGTGAAGAAAATACTTTATAAGGCTATTAGTGATAAAAATAAGATAACCAAAAAATATCTAGCCTTTTGCGAAAAATTATCCCGCTCCGACTTGCCTAATTACATTAGTGGCTATTTAGAAAAAAACGATTCCGAGCACAAAATGCAATTTTCCTTAAATCCTACCACTTCCCAAGTTAAATTTTGTGCGTTGGAAGTAAAAAAACTCGGACTAAAAAATGATTATCAACAATTGGAAATTACTTTACACACGGGGAGAAAACACCAAATTCGTAGTATTTTATCCTATTTTGGTTATCCGATTGTCGGCGATAAAAAATACGGAAGTTCAGTAGTCATGAATAATAAAATCGGTTTGTTGGCCTATCAGTTAGAATTTAATAATCTTCCCTCGCCGTTAACTTACCTAAACAATCGAATTTTTGCTATTCCCGAAGAAGAAATTGGTTACAAACAAAGATTTACAAACCAATGAAACCAATGGGGAATTGAAGAAAAGTCTAAAAAACGAAGTAACTTTTAAGAACCTCGGGAATAATCAAGCGGTTTTCTTTCTCGTTATAATAATATTCGCAAAGAGTAGCAATTAAGCGGTCAACGGCCAAAGCCGAACCATTAAGAGTATGAGGAAGATATTTTTTTCCTTCCTGGTTTTTAATCCGAATTTGAGCTCGGCGGCTCTGAAAATCCTCGCAATTGCTGCAAGAGGAGATTTCTAGCCATTTTTTACTGGCCGGCAACCAAACTTCTAAATCGTAAGTTTTGGCCGCACTAAAACCTAATTCTTCATTACAAAGTTCCACTACACGATGAGAAATTTTTAAGGAATGAAGCAAGTGGCGAACATCGGCCACTAATGCTTCTAATTCCTGGTAAGAATTCTCTGGCTTAACAATCTTAACCAATTCAACTTTATGGAATTGGTGGAGACGAGTTAAGCCTTTATTTTCTTGTCCAGCAGCCATTCTTTCCGCCCGAAAACAGGGGCTATAAGCACACAAATTAAGAGGCAATTCCCCTTCGGTTAATATTTGGTTTTGGTAAAGATTGACTAAACACACTTCGGCAGTGGGCAGGAGATAAAAATCGCTATCCTCCAATTTATAAAGATTATCTTGGAACTTGTGAAATTGACCGGTATTATAAAGATTGTGAGCCTTGACTAAATAAGGAGTGTCAAACAAACGATAGCCCCGCTTACTATTTTCGCTCCGCATAAAATTAATAAGGGCATGTAATAATTGGCTACCAAATCCTTGATAAACCGCAAATTTGCTTCCCGACAGAAGAATACTTTTTTCTTCGTCAATTAGGGCCAACTTTCTTAGTATTTTCTCATGAGTAAAGTTATGTTTAAGGTCATGCGAATATTCAGTTTTAGCAATGATTTTGTTTTCTCGGTTCGGAAGGCCAAAACTAGGTAAATTAGGGAGCCGGGACAATAAATCACTAACTTCTTGGTCCAAAGCGAGCAAATTGGGGGCGTTAAGAGAGAGTTCCTTTTTTAATTTTAGAACTTGGTTAGCATTTTCCGAACCACTCTGGCTTAATTGATTTCTTAACTGACGCAACTCATTAACTTTTTTTCTTAACTCTTTTCACTCAATTAACTTGTCTCGGATAAATAAAAGTTGTTTTTTTTCTATTCCTCTCAGTTCTAAACACTGAATTAAATTTTCTCACTCCCCAAAAAACTTTTTTCAATTAATCATTACATTTTTTATAAAATTATTCAAAATTGTGATTCTTATTTTCGCTTTTTTAATGCTACTTCTTCATTACCTGGGAAAATTATATTGAAATGACAAAGAAATCAATTTGCTGAAAGCCGGATTAGAAAAAGCCGAAGAATTAGATAGCAAGGAACTAAATTTAATGTAAAACATAAATCAAGTTAAAAAAAATAAAAATCATGTCCAGCAAATTTTCCGGATTCAAAAAATTATACTGGTATCACTTACAAAGAATGACTGAGACTTTTTTTCTTCCCTGACTAATTTTGGCTCTTATTTGTTTTTTGATTAATACTGCTCTGGTTTTTTCTCCGACTTTTTCGGATTTTTTTGAATCAACAAATATAAAAAGACTTGCCATAACCAACGAAAATGAAAACGGAAATGAATCTGAATCTGAAAGCGTTTCTTCTCTTGCTAATTCTGTTAGACTTGTAGAAGACACAGGAGAAACAATAACTAGTGTTGTTAATTTTAATAGTTTACTAAGTTTTTGTTCCTATATTCCTTGTTCCACCAAGTTTTTTACCGAAGAACCCCGAACGGCTCAAAATCTAGTTAATTCGATTAAATCTTATCCAATAACTCTGCTTGGTTTTTTTGTCGCTTTTATTTTTTTTCCCTCGTTAGTATCCAGGCAATTAATTACTCTTCTCAAATCGCAAATTGCTGTACCCAAAATGGGGTCAATTTTCCCACAATTTAAATCAACCGGCGAAAACGAATTACTTTTAATCTCGGCTTCTCCTGTTTCTCGGACTGCTATATTTATGAGTAGAATAGCGGCCTACCTAACCCGTTTTTGGCTTTCTCATTTGGCTTTCGTCGTTTTTCCTTTCTTTTTGCTAGTGGGGAATTTTGCTTCTTTTGCTTCTTGAACAAGTTTTTTTCTTCATTTAGTCACTTTTTCGTTACTTAATCTGATAGTTATTCCCGTAATAGGATTTTGTTTTATCTCCCCTTTTTTGTATTTTTCTCCAATAGTAGCCGCACAGACGGCTACTTTTATTAAGTTCTTTCTTTTTTGACTTTTGAATAGACTTAACTTTTCTCCTAGCCTCTTTGTGTGAGGCGGTTTTTGCCTTTTTTTCTTACTTTGAGGCTCAATTTGAACCTACTTGTCTTACCAGGAATTTTGTGAAAAAGATTACACTTAAAAACAAATTTTTTTGAGCGAAATAAAAATATATGAAAAAAAAAAATCTTTACATGATAGTAGAAATCCCTAAAAAGGGAGTTAACAAATATGAATATAACTTGGCTACGCAAAATTGAGAGTTAGACCGAGTTTTACCCGGAGCCATGCATTATCCCGAAGAATATGGTTCCATTGAAAATTCCTTAGGCCAGGATGGTGATTTTTTGGACGTAATTTGTTTAAATGATAATCCTACTTTCCCCGGTTGTCATTTACCGATTAGAATTATCGGAGTGTTAAAAATGATTGACGACGGTGAAGAGGACAACAAAATACTAGCCGTGAATGCGGTTAATTCTCGCTTCCAAAACATTAACGACTTAAAAAATGTTAGCGATGGTAAATTGGAAGAAATCGCTAATTTTTTTCTTCGTTATAAAGAATTAGAAAAAAAAGAAGTAAAAATTCTCGGGTGGGGTAATAAAAAAGAGGCGAAAGAAATTCTCGTTCACGGTCAATATTTATATCTCAAACACCAGGAGTTAGTAAAGAAAGGTCCCGAACACAAGAAAAAATTAGTCGAAATGTTAAAAGCAGAAAAAACTAACTTATCACCATCAATTTAAGATTTTTTAAACCATAGGTTTAAATTTTAAAAGACTGGCTAAATCGCTGTCCTTAATGTATAGAGCGGTGGTAGAAACTTTGCCGTGTCCCAAAACTTTTTGTAAAATATTGAGAGGCATGCCAGCCAGAAGATTGTAGGTGGCGAAACATCTCCGCAAAGTGTGGGGTGCTAATTCAATACTAGGGCTAATCCGCAAATCATTCCGCACTCGGTTAAGGAATTCCCAAAAAATTCGTCGGTCGGTTTGGTTAGGTTGTCAACTATGATTTTTTAACTCCCCAATTATTTCGGAAGTAATATAAACATAACGTTGTCTTTGTCTTTTTCCCCGCAACAAATACAGATTTTTGTATTCGGGTTCGGGATGTTCTAACTCGGGATTAAAATTAATTGCTTCGGTCACTCGCAATCCGGCTTTCCAACATAGAAGGAAACAACAGTAATGTATTCATTTCTTAGTTTCGCTCTGACGATTAGGTCGTTGAATAATGAAATCTTGAATTTCTTGTAAGAGTTTTTGGGAAGGGAGTTGTTGTAGTCTCTTTCTTTTTTTCATAAAATTTACAACAGTTCTTCACTAAATTTCCGGTCAAATTCATTTTCCTCCCTTTTATCGTAAAACGGCAGACCCCAAACTTTATATTCTTTGTCTTCTCCTAATTGTTTCATTTGGTGTCCTTTTTTTAGGGAGAGAAGAAAATCTTGTTTTCAAATATCTTTTTCTTTAAGATAAGTGCCTTTTGGCTCAATAAACACTTGATAATACAATTTTTTAGAAGGCTTTTTTTGCCGCAAAAATAGCACATAATCCGGTTCAAAAGGTTTTCCGTCTTCAAAATTATAGAGTTTGAAAAATCGCTCATTCCGAACTAAATAAATTTGGTCGTATTTTTCTTGCAGTTTATCGTATATTCTATCAATATATTTCACAAAATATTTTTCCTCAGAAGTTCCAAAACAATCTTCAAAAACATATCAGGGTCTATCATTGAGGTTCAGATAAAATTCAGTCTTTTGATTATTATTCATTGATTTTCCTAATTCCTTATCTCAACTTTCATTTGGGGCAAAATTGAGTTCTTTATCATCAATTTTTTCTTTTAATAAGATGTGTTTAAATTCTTTACTTCCTCTGAATACAGGACTGTTGGAAGCCAAACTAGAAGTAATTTGCCCGATAGTTTTTGTTAAAATTTTAATTTCATCCTCCGGTTTTAATTCTTGGAGTTGAGATTTCAGACCAGAAACAGTTATTTTCACTCCTCCCAAATATTTTTCGTTTTTAATAAATTCATCCAATTTTTCAAGATTAGGAAATCATTTTTTCAAATTAGAAAATGAATAAAAATCAAACTTATAAAGTGCTTTTTTTATAATGTGTGGTTTTAAATTTTTTATCCGAAAAACTTTTTCTTGGGTTTCAACATTTTCCTTAACTTGACTTTCAAAAAAAAGGTCTCGGGAAAGACTAATATTTGTCCGGAGCGATACTTGGTAGGGAAAATTAAGTATTGCCGATGGCAGTTCCCAAACATCATTTCGCGAATATTTTTCCGGCTGATTGAGAAATAAAAGACCAGACTGGTAAAATTCCGTATTTTTAAATTCTTTTTTAATGGCAAGTTTTATTTTGATGGTATTATCCGGGATAATTCCGGTTTTTATCAGAGCTGAAGTTAATTCTTGGATATAACGAGGATTATAATTGCTGTGATAGTATAATTCTTCACAAATCCGCATTTCATTTTGGAGGTCGCGGTCAAATTTTCGTTGCGAAGGGTCGTGAGTTTCATTAATTTTAAAAGGGCAGTATCTCGCTCCTCTTCCTATTAGTTGAGCCTCTTTAATGGTAGTTGGTCCTGGTATATTGTTTTTGGCATCACGAGTATCATACAAACGAACAATATCAAAAAGATTAAGCACATCCCAGCCTTCATTAAGTTTATCAACCGCAAAAATAGCTCGATACTCATTATTAGGGGCTTCCAAAGTATTTACGGCTAATTGATTTTTTTCACTTTCATTTTGACTATTAATCGAGAGCGTTTTTTCCGCTGAAAAATCTTCTTGTAGTTCAGCAACCAAATTATCTAAGGAGATTTTATTAGTAGCAAAATATTTGAACGCTTTTGTTAAAGATTCGTCTTTGGAGTTGATTTCAATTTCTTTAAGTTTATCACTTGTAAGCGCTGCTATGCCCCTTACAAATCTTTCTTGAAATTCTTCACTTTCCTTAATGGTTTTAGATTTAAATAAAATAACCGGTTTTATTATTTTGCCATTTTTTTCAAATATTTTGCGGCGATATTGGCTGAGTAATACGGCTTGGAGAGCACGTTCAAACGGCTCAGCGTCCGTTTGTAATACTCTTACATCTTTGGAATAACCATCGCGGCGAAACTCTTTGAGAGGATAATCAAAAATAAGTCTAGGAGCGTATTTTTCTCAAATATTAGAATTGTTTTTATCTATTGTAGCGGTAAATTCCAAAAGAATATTTTGCGAGTTGGCAGCAAATATTTTATTGGCTGTATTTTCCCAGGAACTTATTTCTTCTTTTTCCTCTTTGGAAGGTTTTGAGCCAGATTTAGTTTCCACATTGATGTGGTGTGCTTCATCAGAAATAAGAACAATTTTCTGGTCTTGAAAATCTTCATAAGTCAAATTATTTTCACGGGGAGTATTTAAACGAGAATGAAGCCCTTGAATAGTTTCAAAACAAATATTAATATTATCGTTATCGGTAGTTTGAAAATTGTCTACTTCTTGGAGAATTATTTTCTTATCCTCAAAAGAGATAGATTTATTAAAAAGATATTTAATTGAAGTGTCATTCAAAAAATTATCTCTGGTTTTATCAATAATATTAGTGCTATTAACAAAAAAGAGAAAATTACGATAGCCTTGTTGATATAAATACAAAATTAATCCGGCCATCATTAAAGTTTTGCCGCTGCCGGTTGCCATGAGAAATAGGAGTTGGGGTTGATTTGATTTGCCTTCAAAATTCTCTTGTCAGTAGTTAATAAAATATTGGAACACTTCCTTTTGATAATCACGAAGGGAAAATTTGGGGTTAAGATTTTCGTTTATTATTGGCGGAAGTGAAGTGGACTTAATGTTTTTCTTTCCTAACTCCCTTTCTAATTGTTGATATAAAAATATACTTCCTTCCACGATTTTTTATTTTGCGTTATAAAATTGGTAATTAAGTCTTTTAACTTCCTCGGACATTTCATAACTTTCATCTTCTATATCACAATAAGGAACATACAAAAGATTTTTATCCAAAAGGGAAATCAAAAATTTTTGCTGTTCTTCAAAAGATAATTCTTCAAACTCTTTTTTAGTATTATCAATATCTTTCGGCTCTATTTTATAACTTAAAAAAGCAATTTTTTTCATTTGCTCCCAGATTTTCCAGAGTTCGACAGTATTTTTTGCTTCTTGAATTTGATTAATAAATCCTTGGTTAAATTCCGCTAATTCACAATAAACAAAAGAGCCTTTATTATCAATTTCACAAACTTTTCTAATTCTTTCTTTGGTTACTGTCTCAATATAATCCATTTGCTCGCAAATAATAAATTTTCGGTTTCCGCCGTCTTGCTTATTAAGTTCCAATACCGCATGAGCCGTGGTGCCACTTCCTCCAAAAAAGTCTAAAATTATAGCATTTTTATCATTACCAACTACCGCATAAAGGCAATCATAGACATTTCAAAGAGATTTGGGAAAAGTAAATGGGGCGTTCGGCACTAGTTTTTTAAGTAAATTTGTTCCATAAGTTCCGGCATTGTACCTGTTATTAGTTCATACTGTCCTGTAAGTTTCAAAATCTTTGCCAATTTCAATTTCATAGCAGCCATTTCTCGTTTTTCGGGCTCGTAGAAATTTTTTTACTTCTTCCACATTTTGTCGGGCATAATTCCACTTTCTTTCAATGTTATTGCTATCTATTGGATAAATCCAAAATTTACCATCCTTCTCAACAACGGAGCCTTTTGGGTGTTCATCATCACTCAAAACTTCTCCAAAGCCAATCACTTTATCATTTTCGACAATTATGGGATAAAAGCAATTTTTAGCGTCACTTCTCAAATTATCTCCGCGACGAAGGTTTCTTCATTTAATTTCTTCAATCTTTCTATCTCCAATTGACTTTTTGCCTTCTGGAATAACAAAAATAGCGTATTCATGAATGTAAGCAAAATTTACTGACTGCGTGCCTTGAGGCATGTGAACTATAGTTATACAATGAATTTCATAGCCACGAAATATTTCTTCCAATAAAATTTTAAGTTTTGCTAATTCTTTTTCGTCAATTGCCACTATTAGACAACCATCAGAAGTTAGTAATTTTTTAGCTACTTCCAACCTATTTTTCATAAAAGTTAATCAAGTAGATTCATTAAAACCATTATTGTAAACAAAAGTATTCGATTTACTATCTGGATTATAAGGGGGGTCAATATAAATTAATTTGATTTTGCTTTGATATTTTTCTTTTAGAGAATAAAGGGAGAGGAGATTATTGCCTTTGATAATTAAATTGTCGTTTGGCAAAATATCGTTAATTGGTACTTCTTTTCCTGCTTCGTATTTTTGAAAATTGGTTAAAACTTTGGGAGTCAATAAGCGATCAATTTCGTCCGGAGCCAGTGTTTCATTTCAAAATACTTCGTGTCTTTTGGCGTCCTCCTTGGTCTGTCCTCCTTCCAAAATACAGTCTTTATAAGGTCATGCCAAAACTACTTCTTTGCTGTCAGTAAGATAATTGCCGTTAGCAGTTAACCTTGTTTTATTTTTGTATTTAGTAAAACTATCCGGGAGAAATTGTTTATTAGAAACGAAACTTTGAAATTTTATTTTGTCAAAAACGAGAATATCATCTACTTCTTGGAAAAATATTTTTTTAATTTCGGGGGAGGAAAGAAGAAGTTTTAAAAGTTCTTTGTCAAATTTCAGAGCCAATTCAATAATTTTGTTCTTGGCAAGATTGCCGTCTATTATTAGTCTTTCGTCTTTTTTGAGGAGTTGGGTTAATTTTTCTAGTACGTTCATTTTTTCACCACTATTTTTTTTAGTTCAACATTTTCATTAATTTTACATGTTTGATTATTTTTAGGTAATTATATACAAGTTTAAACTACTACAAAAAAACGACAATTAATCCCCCCACTATAAATATTGGATTAAGACTTTTTCTTTTCTTTCTTTCACACACTCCTTTTTTGATAAGGAGTATTCAACAAGACTTTTAGTGCTTCATTAAGTTCCTCTTGACTTACTGTCTCAACTATCGAACTCGGCATTTCATTTTTTGGTGATTTGTCGTTATTGATTTTTGTTTTCATTTTTGAATAATATTGGTGAACGAGGAGTATATTACATATACCCTCATTATTATAATTTTATCTTAAATTGTCACGCTTCGTTAGGTTCTCTCTTAATATTTTGCTAGCCAGTTGACTATGTTGATAAATTATAATATGACAAAAAAACAATATAAGAGAGAGAGAGAGAGAGGAATCCAGTAATAGCATCAACAACGACTAAAAAGAACGGTTGGAAGAGAATAGCGTTAATTTTTGGTGGGATAATTTGTGTTGGATTGTTTGCGTGAACTGTTTTTATTTGACAGAAAAAAGTTGAAACGAAGGAGAGAAAATTAATAGAAATCGCCCGGCAAACTGAAAGGGAAAGGGAAAAGCGGGAATTATTTAGAAAGACAAGAGAGAGAGAGAGGAAAAAGACTGAAAACGATGATAAGGAGAGCGGGAATATTGATTAATGTCTTTGCAGAAATGAACTTAAAAAATGAGGTAAGGGAAGAAATTAAAAAAAGAAATTGAAGAGAATTTTTGAAAAAGAAAAGGGGTGAAGTTAAAAATAGTCTTGCAACCACCAAATTTGAATATCGAGGCAAAAGCGAGAGTGATTATAACCAATATTTAGAACAAAGAAAAGCGAACGAAAGTTTAGTCGAAATCATTGACAAGTTTATAGATTATACCAACGCTCGCAATGTTACTTGTGATGATTATGCTTCATATTACACAGACTATTTCGCATGGGAAGAAAGAATTTTTCGTGATGAAAAAGAACAAGAAATTTATGATTTACTCCGGCCAGAATGAGATAAAAAATGAAAAGAAATAGAAAAATTGTTCGTTCGAGCCGTAGAAATTTTGGAATTGATTGAATTACATGCTAATTTAGATTTAGCCTTGAATGGTTGAAGCCCAATCGAACCAATTACTAAATTAGGTTTGCAAATTTTTATCCAAGAAACTCGGCCAAACAATTTATTAAGTGAAAATTCTTATTTGAAAAAAATAGAGGGGTTATTATTCCAAGAAGTAAAACAAGAAGAATTTTGCAAACATTATTGCCGTTATATTCGGGGGGGGGAATATGAACCCCGATTTTGCCATTTTCCCGACAATTTCACTCGCCCATCACACTTCCTCCGACCAAACTACTCCCTTTTCCAATCTTTCCATTTCGGTGGCACTTCATTCTGCTATGTAATAAAAGACGACTTGGATTTTTATACTTTTTGTTGATATAAAAACAACTTAATTTTCTCTTAATATGTTGGGATTGGGTTTGCCTTTGTTTTTGCCAAAAATTTCTTTAAATTCTGTTTCTGATTTTGAATAATAGCGAATATTTGGGAGAGGTTTTAAATGTTCCATCTCTTCTAAATATATGTCGCCCAAATTGTTAACAGCACGTAAATAATTTAGATGTTTGTCGGCCCTTCGCTTGATTTCTATTCCTCTCCAATAGCCATCTGTGTATCATAAACCTCCATATTTGCTAGGTTTTCTTATTTTTTTCATCACTTCTTTAATTTCTTCCCGCACTCCGCCTTTGGTTTTTTATATCAGTTTCAAGTATTTTTTTGATTTCTAACAACAAAGTTTCATCTTCCTTATCTCACTCTTGAACGAACAAAGCCGCTTTTTTGTGTTTTTCCATCCATTCCTCAATCATTCTTTTTATTTCATTTCCTTCTTTTTCTAATTCCTCTTGTGTCATTTCTTCGCCTAATTTTTCTAATGGAGCAATCATTAAGGCCCCTTTTGAACTTATAGGAGTGAAATCATCGACCTTTTTTTCATAAAAATCATCACCCAAATATATGCCATTTTCTATTTTGGTTCTAAATCATTCTCCGTAAGAATGATTATAGTTCCAGGAGATTATTGAAGATTGGAAATAACCTTTGGTATTTAGATAATCGCCTAAATGTTGAATATTATAGTAATCGTAGAAAAGCGGACCCTTGATTTCCTTTTGTCGGAGATATTGATTAAGTTTAATTTGGCTAAATCTCACTTCTAACCCAATAGGATGGCGTCCACTGTAAAAATATTTGTTTTGCAATTGATAAAAAGTGCTTTGATGGTAAGTTTCATTGGAAACTGCCGCATCGGCAGCAGTGCGAATTCCACTCGTTATTCCCGATTGAAGTGCTGCCATTCCCGCTCCTCGGACTGCTGCTCCACCAACTCCACCACTAGCCGTTAAGGATGACGCTTTTTCTTTTGTTGATGTACTTGCTGATGCCAGACTTGCGGCACTCATTACAGCCGCCGCTCCCGTTCCAGCTGTGAAAAATCCCGCCGCACCCGCGGCCAAAGCAGTAGCCCCAACATTAACCGCTTTTGATAGAAATTCATTGCCTTCAACTTTGTTTGAAAAACTTTCTAAGGTTGAAAATATTATTTTGTTATTAACTTCAATGGTGACATAATTACCGGAAGCATTAGTAATTAAATTACCCATTGTTCTATCATAAATTTCTCAAAGGTTTAT